CTATCAGAGTCACTTATAGACCATATTGCACCAATTGAAATATATTAACACTCCTCCTTAGAGACGGGATTAGAGATGGGGTTTCGATGAGGATAGATAGGGATATATTAAGGTGTTGTTTGTTTTTCTTAAAAAACCTCTTCAAAACTCTTATTGTTGCGCGGCGCAGCACACGCACAACACTTTTTGTCCCGCAACAGTTTGTTTTTCGGAAGTCTTTGGGGCTTAAAACTTCTGCCCGTGTGCTTCTTGGGGAAGCACTTGTTGTACCTCTTTCCACCCCTTCAAACCTAAACCTAAAAAAATCCAATCCCAAAAAACAATCGGCCCTTTTTTTTTCCAAAAATCTAACAATGACGTGTGTTGTTTTTTAAATAAGTGCCCATTGAAGTATATTTAATATTACGTTTATGGTCCTTTACTTATATACTATATTCTATTTTCATCCCTTTAACGTTTAATACATTAAATTTATATCCTTGTAACTGTTTTCTCCCATTTGATTTACATAAGTTAATTCATTTTAATGTTGTTTTTTAAATTAGGTTATTTTAAATTTTTAATGTCTGCAGCAGTCTGTAGATGTTAACAAAAACAAACACGCTTCTTATTACAGTCTGCAGTCGTTTGGTCCACCTCTTTTGCTACAGAGGTTTGCAGAGTTGGTCTGTAGACTTTTTGAATTTTTGCTTCGGAAAAACAAACAGCACCTAAGCCTCGCAGATGCAAACGCAAACTCTGATACCATATTAATTTTTTTCTCATAAATCAATTCTCATTAGAGAAAACGTATAAATTCATGTAATCTAAGAATATACATAACAATATACACTAATAGCAATTACGAAAATCAGACTAATTTCGATAAGTCTTTTACAAAATGCGTAATTATTTTGTCTTATTATCCATTTTAATCATTTTGTGATTAATCATCGATACAAATGTTGTCTAAGTTAACAAATTAAAACTAAAATTAACAGTGTGATCAGTCAATGTATTGTAAATATGCTATCGTTAATCACTTTGTATATAAATCATCACCTATTCGACATTTAAATGCATAACCAGGTGCGGTCCAAACGGATTTGTGGCCAATGAAAAAATAAATATGAGGTCCTTAAAAATTCAAAAAAGTATATTCAAATAACTAAATTTAATGCATATAATTTTAAGTGGTGGTAAAACATAATTGAAAATATAACATATCTCAAAAACTAATCATAGCTAAAAAAAATAACAACCTGCTTTTAATCTTTTCTACCCATAATAAAACAAATATAGCAATGAACTTATAATGTTTTACCTACAACAACAATATACTTCGATTTTACGATGTATATCAGAGTTATCAAATTGACCTCTTTAACAAATTCATCTTCATCAGCTGAAAATTGATGTTCATAGCAAGGGCAATCTATCACCCCTAAACTCAAACTAAAAAGAAAAAAAAAGATAGGAAAAGTACACAAACATAAAGACATTCTTACATAAAAAAAAAGGATAATGATATAAAAGTCTTTAAGTTTGATAGGAATTTGCAGATTTATCTTTTTTTTTTGTGGATTTTAGTTTCACTAAAATTGGATGTTTGCAACTTTTCTTTGTTTTTTTTTTTAATTTTAATATATTTTTGGTTCATTAAAGCCCTTACGTTTGGCATAAATATATTTTGAATTAACTACATTTAATGCATGTATTTTTAAGTGGTAGTAAAACATAGTTGAAAATAGAATATATCTCAAAAGTTAATCATAGTAAAAAAATAACAAAGTGCTTTTAGTCTTTTTCACCCGTAATAAAACAAATATAGCAATGAACTTATAATATTTTACCCACAGCAAGTCAACAACAATGTAATTCAATTTTATATATCAGAGTTATCAAATTGACCTCTTTAACAAATTCATCTTCACCGGCTAAAAAATGATGTTCATAACAAGGGCAATCTATCACCCTAAATTCAAACAAGAAAAAAATAAAAAATAAAAAGGTAGGAAAAAAACGCAAAGATAAAGACATGTTTACATAACAAAAGGGATAATGACATAAAAGTCCTTAAGTTTGATAGAAATATACTGATTTACCTTTTTGTGGATTTTAGCTTAACTATTAGCTTAACTAAAAGTGGATGTTTGCAACTTTTTTTTTTTTCAATTTTACCATTTTGTATATTTCTGGTTCACTAGAGCTCTTACGTTTGGCAGAAATGTTTGACTTTACCATTTTCCGGTTTATAAAAGCCCTTAAGTTTGGCATAAATGTTCAGTTTTATAGAGTAAATATACAAAAAAAAGTTGTAAAATTGAAGAAAAAAATGTTGCAAACATCCGGTCTTAATGAACTAAAATCCGCACATTCTATCAAACTTAAGAGTTTTTATATCATTATCCCGAAAAAAAATCATATTCAAATTATCTTTATCCAAAATGCCAAAAGATTATTACAAACTTACCAATAGTGAATACTGATTTGCTTCTTTCACTTCCAATTACCAATTGCAATAATGATTACAAAAGTGAAAAACATCACATATATTGAAAAAAAATAATAACTAAAACCCCATCTCAAAACCTCTAAACTCATACCAAAATTGCAAGATTTGGGGGTTGGCAATGTATATTCCGTTGAAACAAAGAATGATTGGAAACTCGAAAGAAATAATAAACTAATTGGAACAAAATAAGCAAAGAGAATTACATTTTCTCAACGACTTCGACATCATTAAGATATTGATAATATTTACCTTATAATAATCTTCAGAAGTTATTGATGATATTGATTTCGTTGAGCAAGCATCTCAGTTAAGAAATTGATAAATTAACCAGCATATAAAAATAAAACAATACCACATGACTGATTTGAAACCAACAATAAAATGTGAGTGAACTTGAAGTTGTAAGTTACGAAGAGACTAAAGACCTTGGATTTTTTTTTTTTGTTTCTTGAAAAACAAAGCTTCAGATAGTCGAACTTCAGTAAGGGGTCGTTTGATAGTTGTTAACTGAGTTAGAGTTGATTGAGTTAGAAGATGACTGAGTTAGAAGTTCTGACTGAGTCAACATCTGACTGAATTTATTCTGTTTGATTATTTATCGGACTGACTCTAGTGAATGATAAAAAAAATGACCATATTACCCTTATGTTGTGCAGGATAAAATAATTATAAAAATCCAATATGTAACATAAAATCTAAATAAAACATACATTATTTAAAATCCAAATATAAACTGTTATACAAAATACATTTACAATTTTACCAAGATCTTTTCACTTGGTTTCATACATCACTTTGAGAATTAATCTCGAACTTCATCTTCATCAAAAACTTTCATTGTAACAAAGAAGATAGGAACAGGGGTTGTTTTCCACTCAGAACTAAACAAACTATTTAATCCCAACATCATTGTTTGTTTAAAAGGCTTGAATCCTTCTGCAGAAACATTGCTTCTTGTCCCAAGTTAATTTGAAACAAAGTACAGTGTATCCACCCATTTATGTTGCCTTTTTTCCTTTTTGACGAAATCTTGTACCAAAAATGCTATAGAAGCCTGTGCCAACCAGTGCTATTCAATAATCACTTTGGCCTAATGGGTAGAGTGATGGTGTGAACAGTATCACAAATCAATCATATGATATTTTGTTGTACGACAAATGAACACATCCCACTTTTTCACTTTCTCTAACCATGTCCAGGAATACAAAAACACGAAAAGGACAAGAGTAAAGCCGTCTTTGATCACAAAAAAACATCGGCTCTGGTTTTTCTCTCTTGATTCTCTCTATATCTCTCTTTCTTTCCTACTTCCACAGTAAAAATCGAGAAAGAAAAAGAGCAAATAACTAATCCATTATAGCACACAAGCACAACAAATCGAAAAGAAACAAAAGAAGGAGAACAAAGTCGAAAATCACAGCAAAAGTTGAACTTTTCAGCAAGAATCAAACAATAAAAAACGAGAAAATGCAAGAATGTACATGTCTCCGGTTAACTGGTCGGAGGAAGAAAGTCGACGGAAGAGCAGCAGATGAGGGTGGGGAGCAGGTCGTCATTGCCTTTTCTCTGTGAAGGTTGTCAACGTAGGGTAAATCGGTAAATGCATAACCTACGTCCCAGTCCAACGATTCAAAGGGAAGGACCGAATCATCGCTTTTTCTTGAACCGAGTCCATAGCTTGGATTGAGTCCTTGATTGTAAAAACGAAATCAAACACCCTAATTTTTCTTTTTTGGACCGGGTCCCCTATCGGACTCAATTAGAAGCAATATCAAACACCCCCTAAGGCGCCTTTTGATTTTTGAATTGCACACAAAAAAGAGACATTCACATTTGGGCGTGAAACAACTAATATCAATATCAATCTAAATGGGGCCTTATATAACATTGGGGCCCGGGCCATAGCGTATAACTTTAACAAAAAAGACAAATAATATAATGCGATCAACTTATGTTCTATTATGTAATACAAAATGATAAAGATGCATATAATGTCGATTAATCATGCTAGGTTGCTTATGAGCAAACTGACGAAGCCAATCTTGGCCGTTGATTAAACTCATCTTGTTGTCATAATTAGTAGAAGCTATGACTTTTATAACCTGGGAAACTTTCAAATATTCTGAAGATGTTCAATCAAAGATAAAGTATAACCATATAATCCAACTTAATCAAATAACTGAAGTGTACAAACAAACATGATTATATATGATACAACTCATCATAATTAACAATATATAAACTTTATATTTCAAATCAAATATGATACAAATCATCATAATTAACAATATATATAAACTTTATATCTCAAATCAAATAAACACCACCAAACTATAAATTTCAAACAAATTACATGAAAAATCAAAAACCACTTATTCAAAGATACCAAAAACCAAAAGCCAAAAGCAAGAAAACATCATAGACCCACCACCCACTCTTAATAATAGATATCAAAGCAAGCCAACCCATAAACCCATTTCGCTTTTGCTTTTGTAAACTATAATGTTTAATCACATTCCTTCACCTTTTCTTTTTCCTTTTCTTCTTCACTCTTTGAGTGATACCCCGGGATTTTCTCTTTTATTTTCTCAAAAATACCCTTCTTCTCCTTCTGTTCACCTTCATCGGCGTGTGTCACCACCGCCGGCGGTGGTGGTGGAGGAGCAGCAAGCTCCTCCTCCTTCTTATGGCCGCCGGGAAGTTTCTCCTTGATCTTTTCCATGAAACCCTTCTTCTCCTCCGGCTCAGGAGGTCCATGCTGGAGTGGAGTTACATCGTATTTCTCAATTGGTACAGAAGTTTCGTCCTCATGTTTCGTGATCTTCTCCTTGACCTTCTCCTTCAATGGCTTCTTCTTCTTCTTCTTCTCTCCGTTTTCATCACACTCTTCGTCACTCGACTGTTAACAAATATCACCAAAGGAAACATATTTTTAGTATGGAAATAAATTAACATATCGTAATGAATCAGAGATCATGTCATTAAGTAGACGATTTGATTCAAAAGTTAGAAAATGGAGACAGAAAACTTACGCTACTGGAACTGCTATCGGATCTGTGAAGTTTCTCGAGCAAGCTTTCTTTCTTCTCCTCCGGTTCCGGGTGAGAGACTTGAACTTTCTGTTCAAACTCCGATGAGATCGCCTCCTCTTCGCATTTCTTCTCTTCGTTTTTCTTTCCAAACATATCAAACAGTCCACGATCGGACTTCTCGACGGTTTCAGGCTCCACCACCATGGTGGATGTTTCGACGCACTCTTCGGTTTTGGGGGCGCTGTGGTAAACTCCTTCGTCAGACATGATGAAAGTTGAATCGAGATTAAGAATAAAAACTGAGTATTTGATTGATTGGTTGTTGTTGTTGGATGAGATTAGAGAAATGAGATGATAGTGTGATTGTATGAGTAGTGAGGGGGTTGAATTTATAGGGACGTGGGACACGTAGTGGACGCGATTAAGTTACAAGTAAGCTAGAGGATTCTTGAAATGTCGGTTTAATCTGTTAACTTTTCGTTATTTAAATATGTTTTATTTATATATATAAAATAAAATTGATGATAATTAGAAATTCGTTGTTTATTGGATTATTTATTTATTTTATCCTTCTTTAGTGACAAGTGGTTAACTATTCATTATATGTCGATACTAATTTTTTAACAAATAATATAGAGAGAGTTCCAATTCAATAATTCATCAATAAAACTATTAATTTCATGTAAGCAATAGTATGTTGCAAGAGTTAAGTTTATATTAAAAACGTTTAAAAAATAAATTTTGCAATTCCTTTCAACCATTATAATAAATTTATATTTTATTTAGTTATCTGTTTGAAAACAATTATAATAATTATATCTTTTGATTATTTTCGTTAACTTTTACATTTGAAAAAGTTATAATCAGTTAGCTAATACTTTTTTTGTCTTTATGCTTATTTTTAATTCTGTTTAATGTTTCTTATAATATCTTTTTGTATTTATCTTTATTGCATTGTTAGAAATTAGTAAAACCATTCTTAAATTTTTGTACATGGTAAGAGAGATAAGGATGAAATTTGATCTCATCATTTATGTACATATTAATTACTTAATTAGCACCAATTGTATTAGGTAGAATATCACTTAACTATTATAAATAATGATACTAAAGCATATAAGTTGCATCAAATTAAGTTTTTATTTTTCTTTTTTCTTTTTTCTTTTTTGTTTTATATATTATACTTAATCCACGACCTCATATTTACAGGTTTTTTTTTATCAACATTCTTTTCTTATATAGCGGAGAAAGTTTAATTAGAGATTGGCAAAATCATGATCTTATCTTTAATCGTTTTATCTTTAATCGTTCCATGTTTTGTAAGATCATGACCGGTATTCTCATAAAGTTTTTTACCAATTACAATGAAAGCAAAACATTGTGTATAAAAAACTTAATTTGTCAACAATCATAAAATCATTGAATAAAAAATAACAATCCATCAAGTTGTTAGGTTATATGTGAGATTAATTATCTAAGTATATTATGAAAAACTTTAGATATTATACTTTTAAACACCGAAGACCAAAATTTAAAAATTGGGGTCTATTGAACCGCCGCACGATCTTACGATCCTACAATCTTATATAGATACATGTTTGCTACAAAACGATCATATTACAATCAAAATTGTTTTTGGCTTGTCGGATCGTAGGATTTTATGATGCTACAATCAAGATCTCGATTTTTACAACATGACTTGAACTCATCATGTCAATATGATATATGGTTAGATTATGAGTCATTTAATCGATCTTACATATGATCGTCATGCCATCAAACTTTTTGATATGAAAAAGCAAGATTTATTTCGTATTCATAAAATTCCATTCACTTTATAATCTACGTACGAAACAACCTATGTTTCGATCTCACGATTAACAAAATTAATTAATTTTGACAAATATCGAAAAGAAAGTTGCAACATGGCTTAATCATGAAGCGATGCCGTAAGGAAGGAGTCGACAAGGGCAAAGCATAAAAGAAGGAGAGAGAGACACGCTGTAATGCATTAGTGTACTTATCCACTCACATCACGCCACGGAGGATGAGAACGTGGATGGATGCATTTCATGTGGGTCCCATCGTTTATGTCGATACTGGTCATCGTCGGTTGTCAAGGACTAAATAAAGCTTATGGATCCTCCACGTGGCATTTTATAATAGGTACATTGAGTTGCCGACTTTTGTGAACATTTATACGACGTCGTGCTTTGTGTTTTGTGGTAGTACTCCAGTTCACGGAATACGTCACACTTGTCCCTTTTTATCAATTCACTAGGAGGGCCCCCTCTATAGGGATATGGTCGGTTTGACGACTTCGAGGTGTCTCTTAAAAAAAAGGAAAAATTCATGGGCTCACGTGTCTGGTGGGTCTCTATCACGTGACACTATCACACTACCTCCAAAACCCAAATATATCAAAAGGACTACCATTTGACATCAAATACATATATTGTTAATAAAACATTTCCATAAATTAATCTAGAGATAAATAAACAATAATTAAAGGGATAATCACCGAGACTAAAATGAAAAAAACAATACTATGATACATCCAACACTCTGTGGTGTAAACTGTAAAGTGATGTGTGGTACTCATAATCTTTTGAGGAAAGTGATTTTTTCTCTTGGTAATACGACTTTGGATGAGATTTGGTATAATATTGTGTAGTTATGTACAAACTTAGAGGTTCTTTGTTAGAAATTTGGGTATAGAAAGGATTGAAAATTCTGATAATTGTGATTATCACTTTCAAATCGAAGTATTTGGATGGTACTCCCAAATCCTCAATTGAATAAGACTCAGAGATAAGAACAAAGAATGTTTGATGCTATTTTCGTATGTACCAGAAATGAGACCAAAACCAACTTTAAGATCTTTGTCTGAAAACTGTCATATGATAGTTTTAAATTGTCATAAAACCATAAAAACTGTCATAAAACGGATATATGGATAAGGGTCAAACCAATAGTCAATTATCTGAAAAACCAATTTTCTGATGCATTTTTAATATAGTAACATACCCTCTCGACCCCAGCCAGGGGCTCTGCCCCTTGGACCCCGCCAAGGTCTGCCGCCCCTTGGACCCCGCTCCCAGGGGCGCTGCCCTCAGACCCCCGTTCGTTCAGGGGCTTCGCCCCTAAATGACAGTGTACTTTGAAACTTGATCAAACTTAAACAAGTGTGTACGTCACACCTTCCTTACTTGTTTAATATTTATCAAGATCATTTTTGGTCAACAAAGTAATCTCATTAAACTTAAATAACATTGATGATAACAAATCACCAACATTCTTGATATCCTACTTTCTTCTATTTTCTAATTTTGTATCAGCCCGGGTGATAATACACTCTTTTGGTATGACAATTGGTCTAGTATCGATACTTCCGCTGATCTATTCATGACCATGTTCAAATTAGATAAGCGAAAATCTTACTTTGTTTCTGAGAGATTGTCAATTACATGTCCTAATTGGGCTTGGAAAAAAGTTATCTAAATCAGGTGGAGGTCGACGAACTCAATAGACTCGTTGGGCTTATCTCTTCTGTTCATTTATCCAGAAGTCCAGACACATGAAAATCCAAGTTATATAGAGATGGAGTTTTTTCATGTGAATGATTTAAGAACCCTTATCAACTCGAAGGTTACTCGTGTCGTCAGCAATCTTATGGTGTGGGTTCATCTGGTTCCTTCTAAAGTGGGGTGTTTTGTGTGGTGTGCTTGTTTAGATCGCATTCCAACTACGGTGGCTCTTGCTAAAAGGCAAATGAATGTGTCGATCACCTCTTTTCGCTCGTGCAACAATGGTGAGGATGATACTGATCACGTTTTAGTGATGTGTTTGTTCTCGAAAAATGCTTTGGCCTGGATTCTTAATTGGTGTAATATTCAGGCGCATAATAGTTTCCTCGATTCTGATTCCTTGAGTAGCCATAATAAGAAGATCATGTTTATAAAGAATATAAAAACCTGAAAACTCATTGTACACATTATCATCACCGTTTTCCGTAATTAAGAACTTTGGAAAGAAATCTTATTTTCAGCACCAACTTCTTTTTCAACTGTCTCACCTTCATCTTCAGTGTCATAGATATGTTCCATATCATAAACAGAATCGGTGTCAAAAATAGAATGCTTGCATCTTCGTACTCCTCGTACCAAAATATTGGTTCGAAATCAGAAAAACTCGAGAGGTATACTTCACATCTCACGAATTCGGGATTCTCGTTCCTTGGAGGCATTTTGAACTAGGAATTCGGCTCTAATATCAACTGATGTAGCATACAAATGACCAAAGATTGAACATGTTGATTCTTACAAAATACCCATGATATGTAACACTCGTGTTCCATATTGGATTAGTGTAGGGCATAAAGGTGTCAAAGTCATGGTTTTTGGGAAAAATCATGTGACACGACGTGAACATATGGTGGTCATGACTGACGAACCAATATAAGAACGTGTATCCGGAAGATTGTCACGACGTGACATTAGTGTGGTCACGACGTGATAATGGATGTTCGGGCCCAAGCCCATAATTTTAGGGTTTATCTTTTTTTAAGCATCTTATCCCAAGGATTAGGTTACCCTCTTCAGCCTCTAATGTGCACAGATATACCTACGGGTTTTAAATTTATAACCTAACAATACTTAACTACTAATGCACTTATAGGCAGTATACCTAGTCAGTTTATAATTTAGAAAAGTAAGTCGAGTATCAATCACAGTGAACGGAATTTAGCTAATAAAATAACTACTAAAAATTAATCTAAGAAAAACGACTAAAGTGGGGGTTTTTTTATCTGATTTTGCAAGTTCAGATTAACTTAATTACTTAATTAACTAAACAAATAAAGCAAACAATTAACTAATGACGATTGTATTCAAGAGAATAAAGACACTTCCGTTTAGCTTTGAATCCCCATTTTTCCTATGGTTACTTTCAAGACATAAATTAATTTTAGTTGGTTGCCAATATATAAATTATTAAAAAGTCTTGGTCCGATCTTGTAATGTCCCAAAAATTAAGACCAAAAATTTTTGTTTTTAAATTAATAAAACTATTATCCAAAACGTCATCATAAAACCATGGTGAAACAAAGTGTATCAACTACATCACAAAACATCAGAGTAACATAAATTACGGAACGAGGTGGTGTATGCACTGCAATCATCCCAGGCTCTTCCCCTTTGAACCAGAAGTACCTGGAAACATAAACTAAAATACCATACATAATAAACATATAATGGGCCCCGCCCGTC